ATATAGATATAGAGATATAGATATAGATATATATATATAGATATATATATATAGATATATAGATAGATATATATCTCATTAATGTTATGTATAAGACGTGGTTGACTAAAAGAGGACAATGAATGTGTGAGAGAAAAATAAGATCAACTTTCTGTTGCCAAAACATTTTGAGGGTGTTCTACCTTTGAAATGTAGTTAAAACTAGAGAATCTGCATTTCCTGCAAAAATGCAGCGTGAATGCTTATTGCTGAAGAACTAGCTGAGAAACAGCTGAAATTAACTCAAAACATACTAACATCAGATTAAATGGAAGAACAAGACTAAATTGGCAAAGGAAAGCAGAATTCAATTCAGCTCAACTCTCATTGGGCCTCAAAGAATACATATTTGTTGAATTAGGTTTAAATAACCAGAAATTTGCACAAAAATTAGGAAATTTGCTTAAAACTGAATTGAAAAAAGGCCGAAATTAGCAAAAATAGCTGAAAAGTAGCTTAAAAGACAAAAACTTCAAGTACTAGACGAAAGTGAAAAGAACTGAAATGAGCTAAAAAAAAAATGTTGAATTAGCTGAAAAAGCTGAAATTAACATAAAGAAGCATAAATTAACATGAAAAGATTGAATTAATCTGAAAACAGCTGAAATTAGCTTTAAAACAACTAAAAGCTAGCTGAAAAGTTCGAACAAGCTTAAATTGGCTGACTAAAGCAGAAAGAACACAGTTGCCCAATTGTGCTGAAAGAAGCAGACATGAGCACAAAAAAAGTGGAAATTATCTTTGAAAAAAAACAGCTGAAAAGTAGCTAAAACAGCAAAAAGAATTCTAAATTACCCGAAGGATGTGGAGAGAGCACATTTTTGCTGAATTAGGCTGAAAAAAGTTGCAATTATTGCTAAAAATCTGGAATTAGCTGAAAAGGCTAAAAAAAAGCATAAAACAGCTAAATAGTTGCTGAAATAACTGAAACTAGCAGAAATAATCTGAAAGGAGCATAACAAGCTGAAATTAGGATAAAGAAGTTAATTAGGCTGAAAGTAGCAGAATTAACATGAAAAGTTTGAATTCATCTGAAAACAGCTGAAATTAGCTAAACATGCTCAAAAAGTTAGCTGAAAAGGTAGAACAAGCTTAAATTAGCTGAAGAAAGCAGAAAGAACATGGTTGTCCAATTATGCTGAAAGAAGCAGAGATGAGCACAAAAAAGTGGACATTATCTTTTTTTTTTTAATTAAATTAGCAACAACAACAAAAAAACAGCTGAATAGTATTAGCTAAAACAGCAAAAAGAAGCTTAAGTTGCCAGAAGGGCGTGGAGAGAGCACATTTTTGCTGAATTACGCTGAAAATAGTTTAAATTATTGATAAAAATCTGGAATTAGCTGAAAAGGCTAAAATTAGCATTAAACAGTAGCTGAAATAACTGAAACTAGCAGAAATAATCTGAAAGGAGCATAAGCTGAAATTAGCAGAAACAATTTATTATGCTGAAAGTAGCAGACATTAGCACAAAAAACCTTGAATTTATCTGAAAATAGCTAAAAAACAAAAAAATCAAAAGGCAACTCTTGCGTTAGTTTCCAGAAACTCCGCTGCTGAAAGTGATGTCTCGCCGAGCTGCGAGTCGTTGGGATGGTCACCTCCTGAGTGACTCATGACTTGAGGCATTCTCACTTTCCTTACGAGTCAAACTGTTGTCGCTTGATTTTCAAAAACTTGATGTGAAAACTTTTCTTTTGAAATAGTCACAGAGCTGTGGTAGATGTCTGAACCGTCTCAGACTCGTAGGAGTTTTTGCAGCGAACACCATCTTGCCTCAGAGCGCTTTGTCGTCTGCACAGGAGCTCTGCTTCGACCGAAAACATCCGAGGAAAGTGTCCATGATGATCAATAATAGATAAACAATCGCTGAGAGGGGTACAAAATGAGCCGAGGGCAAAGGTCAGCAACAAAATAAGGTGCTTGGCTGAAAGAAAAAAAAAAAAGCATTGTTGCGAGCTCTGCGCATGAAAACAGGTCGTGATTTTTCAAAATCTGAGCGCTCACGGAGACTGCAGCTTAAAAATCACATTTTTTACAACTAGTCCACCTTCAGACTCGTGTGCATCTGGTTTTTGTTCTTGTTTTCTGCTCTGATTTGTGTTTTAATTCCACAGGTTTACCGTTGCTTCCCCTGCTGTGGAGCTGACAAGACGACACCCATCAGTATTTCTCAGCTGGCGGGTCGGGACTCGGCGTCGGCGGCAGAAAGCAGACGTTAAACGAGTTGTGCCTTTGAACTAAACTTGGGGTCACGATGCAGCTAAAAACCACTTTAAAACCACCCGGTCCGGACTTGGATTGTTGTGGTGGACGGTGGGGACCAACCAAACAGGAGAAAACGACGAAGCCTCTCACCAAACACAGCGAGTGTGAGTTCCTGCACTGCTCCAAGCACCCTTTGTTTGTTTTTGTGAAAATGGCCGGGCTTTTATTTTGGCCCTTTCTGGATTCTTTTGACTGACAAAAACAAAAAAAAGAAACATTTGTTTAAAGGAAAACAAAAATCCAAAACATTTCTAAGGAGATGGGACCTTGCATGACTGTCTTTGTTTTGCAGAATCATGAAAGAACTATGAAACTTTTTTTTTTTTTTTTTTTTTTTTTAAAGAAAATATCTCCTCAAACCCATTTTGGAAAACATTTTTTAAAAACCTCACTTTACTGTCAAACAATGCAAATTAGTGCCATTCTGTTTATGAGTTTGTTTTAAGAAAAGAAAAAAAAAATGAGGCTGGAATTGATTTCAGTGTCAATGTTTTAAATTGTTTGTATTTTTTTTTTTTTTTCTAAGTGACTTGTTTCAGTCCTAAAATCATTTATTACAATGCAAATCAAATCCATTATACTGCCAGAAACTGTCATGAACATGGTTTTATTTCTCATGTTTGCAGGTGTTTGGCTCCATTCAGCTTCAAAGAAACCAAATATCTGAAGCAAAACGAGCAAAATTATAAACGGGATCGTAAAATGCATAAATGAACATAATGGCACCAACAATTAGAGCGCTAAATAATTATGTTGAGAATTCGTGAAAATTTAGAATTTAACTTTTGTTTTCGGTTGGAAACTAAATAAAATTCTGCAACATGAAAAAAGCAAATGTTAAAATTAAGAATCTAGTAAAAGGAGACTAAAAATAATTAAAATCATTTGAAAAAACTAGAAAAACTTCATAAAACAAGTATTTAAAAGACCTAATTACTTTAAAAATCTTTTTGTTTGTATTTGTGCCAAGTTTTTTTATATCTTACACTAGACGACAGCCTCTTACTCCGATTTATGAAAACAAACTTAATTTTAAATAATTGCAAAACAATCTAACTTTAGTTAGAATTATGAAACATTTGGGAAATCACCGAATTTTAAAAATATTTCTCAAACATGTTTAGGAGAAAAATGCTGGTTTACTAAAATAAACACAAGCTTAAAACATTTCAATATTTAACGATAAATAAATATAATTATCCAAGTCAAAGATCATCTTAACACTTCCTCTTTGGGTTTGTAAATAAGTCAAATTATAATCAAGTTTATCGAAAATGGATTTAAACGTAGAATCTGCTTTTTTCCCCTCTTTTTTTTTTATTCTAGGAAAACTAAACAACTCAAAGACTTCGTCTGTTTTACTTCAGGAAACGAGCAACTTTACCTCAGTCTGTTAAATCAGTGGTTCCCAACCGTAATCCCTGAGGAACACCATCCTGCACGTTTTAGTTGTTCCTCTGCTCCAACGCACCTGATTTGAATTAAAGGGTGATTAACAGGCTTCTGCTGAACTTAAGGACGTAAATAATCACTGAATCAGGTGAGGTTGAGCAGAGAAACCACTAAAACATGCTGGATGGTGTTCCTCAAGGACCAGTGTTGGGAACCACTGTGTTAAGCTACAAACCTGGTCAGATTGTGATATTGACATTTCTACACAGCAGTTTTTACCTTGAGAATTCAGAACTGTATGCATGAAAATACAAGTACACGGTGATAATTATGTCTTTAAGATGCTGGCAGGTTTTTAATAAGTGAGTAACTTTAAAGAAAATAATTAAAAACATTAGTTAGTGCATTTATTTGCTCAAATACGGGTGAATCGTTCAGGTTGTCACGATAATATTTTAGGGACAAAACAAGCACTTGGCTCAATTTTTAACTTTTTTAACTTTTCATATACGGGGGAAAGTTTTACTTTGCTTTGCTCTCTCTGTTTTCACTGAGCGGTAGGACTGGATCAGGATTTATGCACGCACCCCAGCGAACAGTCCGCAGGTAGAACGCTGACGGACTGAAGTCAGCGCCGCTTTGGTTTGTTACGGTTTCACTCCTCAGAAGAGCGCCGTCATTTTAAAGCCTTCCTCTCGTTCTACGACTTGCTTTAAGCGCCAGAAGTTTTCAATTTATTTATTTTATCTGAACTTTATGGATTTTTTTTTTGTTGTCTGCAAGCAAACAATAAAAAAGTGTCAATAGAAGTTTTGATTTGGTTCGGTTGATATTTTTCAGCCTCACTGTTTTTAATTTCTGATGAAGTTAGGTTTATTTTACTCTACGTGTCTTTGATTTTGTTTTTATTGAAACATTTGTTTACTTTTGGTTCAAATTTAATATAAAACTTTGAACAAGAGGATTATTTACACTAATTCATAGCTAAAGGTAGGAGGGGAAATCCACACTGAGAATTTCACAATAAATATTTACCAAAAAAAAAAACTGAAGTGCACAGCTATAGACATTTATTATAATAAAACTAAGTTTTGGTCATACAACTATAAAGTTATATATCTGTGCTTCAGTCATTAAGATTATTTATACAAGTTTTCCATTATTTATGCATTCTTCAAAGAACTATAGTAGAGTTTAGTAGTTAACTAGATTACCGTAATTTCCAGACTATTGAGCACACCTGAATATAAGCCACGCCCACTAAATTTAAAAAGAGGGGAAAAATTGTACATTTACAGGCTGCACTTGTCTATAAGCCGCAAGTATTCACGTTGTAACATGAGATATTTACACCTTTTTTAAAAACTTTTAATTAAATATGCTAATTATTATACACAAATATGTACAGTAAATGTTTTTTCCCCTGAACAGTGCCTGTAACACTGCTGGTTAAAAATAAAAAAAATACAGTAGCCTCCTCTTCCTCCTGCGCACTGCGCCCTTGAGCTCGGAGTGCCATTTTAAATGCACGATTCATACTTATTTTGAGTGGCTGCAAGTGCAAATACTTTGTCGTGACCCCAGGGGAGGGCTCAGCGGGGAGAGAATGGAGGAAACGATGTGTGGACCAATTAAACCAAGTTTTATTGGTCCACTGAGACCTGATCGGTAATTTCATTGGTCAGATTTATTTTTATTTTTTTACCTTTATTTATACAGGTAGTTACATTGAGTCACAAGGACCCACCCCTGTGGGAGCGCCCAGAGTGCCAAAACTTAAAAAAACTAAAATAAATTAGTCGCAGCTATAAGAGGCTTATATTCTGGAAATTATGCATGACGAAAAACAAAATTAAAAGCTGCCAGTGCGTAATAACTTGGATAAAATAAATAAAATGAGTTGCCATTTCCTGTACTGGTTTTTTAAGATTTCCACTATATGTCAAGCAAGCCAAAGTCCACCTCAGAGGAAATTGTTCTCTAATAAAATTGTAAGTAATATCTACAAAAGTTGGAAGATAAACCTTTAAAAAAAAGTGTTTAAAACTTAAGTGAGATTCTGCTTTGGAAGAAAACTTTAGATGTTTTGTGTGTAACCAGGATAATAATGTACATAAACACAGAAAATACCACATAAGATTAAAATTCAGAATATTGTGCGGTCAGATTGACACCATAACTCAGAATATAACAGCTGATAATATACTGTATTTCATGATAACACAATGCTGCTCAGTATTATACCGTCTTATGGGATCGTTCCAATGGGTTGCCACAACAATCTTAGTGTTACTCGACGATTATCGTGTCATGGCTAACCTCTTGTTTTGATTTCTCAGGCTGTAAGAAGAAATCTAAAAATGTTGGAAATCAGTTCAAGCATTAAAAATACCTCAAATTTCAGCGTTTCTAGATTGAGTAAATGTAACAAGTTGCATTTAAAGGTAAATTACCTGAATGTTGGACCTCTGATGGAGGGGGAGGGCAGAGGGCGGGTCACATGACCTCATCTCCTCCATTCAGGTGGGCTCCAGATCAAGGTTCGAACATTCTGGGAGTTGAGAGTTCACAATAAAAATGTACTCTATGAAATAGTACTGCAACATTAAAATAATGTGCTTTATATAAAATATAAATAATGAAAAGTAATTTGATAATAAAATGAAAACTTTGTATTACACTTTAAAACCAGTTGAAAGAAAACATTAAAAAAGAATATTGAGAAAACTACATAGAAAATATCGTCTCAGAGCGAAATGAGGGAATTGGAAAATACCGTCTGACTGTGAATGTTGTGTGTTAACTTGAAAAATAAGTAGAGTACTGACTTCTATCCAGCAAAGTTCCTTTCAAAAAATTGGGATGCCGTGTCAAAATCCAAGATGGCCACTATTTCTATATTCAGTTCAGTCCAGTTTATTGATATAGCGCCAAGTCACAACAGAAGTCATCTTGAGTTTAACTCCATCACAGACTTCTCATCTTGAGCAAGCATGAAGGCGACAGTGGAAAGAAAAAACTCCCCCATGAGGAAGAAACCTTTAGCAGAACCAGGCTCGGGACAAGCGGCCATCTGCTTCGACCAGCTGGGTTTGATAGGAACAGATACACAATGGCAGGTCAAGAAGTTAGAAATAATATCAAATGAAAATTATTCAATTGTAACAAATCATTTAAGGAAATGAGGTCAATTTGTCCTCTGGTAGTCTAAGCCTATGGCAACGTAACAAGCCAACTCTAACTATAGGATTTATCAAAAAGGAACATCTTAAAACTGGACAACGTGTCAGCCTCACGGACAGAAACTGGAAGTTGGTTCCACAAGAGAGGAGCCTGATAACAAAGATCTTCCTCCCATTCTGCTCTTGGAAACTCTAGGAACCACAAGTAAGCCTTCAGTCTGAGAGCTAAGTGCTCTGTTGGGAAAATATGGAACAACAAGATCTCTAATAAGATGGAGCTAGGTTGTTGAGGGTTTTGTAGGTTAGTAAGATTTTGAATTCAATTCTGAATTTGACAGGGAGACAGTGGAGAGAAGCTAAAACTGGAGAGATATGATCTCTCCTGCCAACTCCAGTTAAGACTCTGGCAGCAGCACTTTGGATTAACGGAAGACTTTTTAAAGAAGTATTTGGACACTAACAAACCATTGCAGTACTGTGTGTGTGTGTATATATATATATATATATATATATATATATATATATATATATATATATATATGTAAACCGGCCACCCTATCATTTAAGGAAACTA